TTTTATGTGACTTTAGCCACCTGGAAGCTAATTTTATATATTTGAAATAATAATCTAGGCAACTTTCATAGTCACTGGAGAGAGATAAGAAGCTTCTGCTGGAGTGTGCATTGTCCCTACAGTCTTACCCCCTCAGTGCAGAGCTGGATAACTGCTTTCAGGAGGCGCCTGGTTTGTCCCTTTGGCTATTGATAAAGCCTGTACAATCAGGTGACTAATCTTAAATGACATGAATCCTATCTAAAGTATTTCATATGGATTTTAACCTTCTCCACTCCACTCTCCCTCAATGCACACCCAATCCCAGTAGTGCAATGAATCAGGATTGAGGTAGCTGTGTCGCTGTGAAATGTGCTGGTGTGGAGCAGATACTGCTGCATGTGCTTCTTGGGATCTTTTGATTTGGGCGAGCAGTGCCACATCAGCAAGGAGCACCCGTGAGCAGGCAGCTGCCCTCTCCTGCTGCACAAAGCAGTGATGAGAATAGTTTGAAACAAAAAACTCCCATTGATTCACATTTTTCCAGATAGATACAATCTTCTACTTTTCCAAGCAGGGGAAAAAAAAAATTATCCCAGATCATTTTCCTGTCCTGGTTCATCAGGAGTTTCAGGAAACACTTGTGCTGACAGAACAGAGGGATGATGCTGCTGCAATATAAAGGTGCTAGCTGGAAACGCCGCATGGGGACTGCTCAAGCCTCTGCAGCTCTCTGCGGCTTACTCAAATACTGATTCTAGCCCTTTGACTTTGAGGACGTAGACATACATCCCATGGTCATAGGTTTGTGGGTAGCATGGTCATTGTGATCTGACTAAACAGCTTCATCTTTTATATATCTTTTTCTTCCACTACTGCAGCTCCCATTGCATTCTCTGTGGTTTTGCTTCTGTCATTCAGCCATATTATTTGGTTTTTATCTTTTCAACAGCCTTCATGTTTTACATGTAAAGTGTTTTCTTTGGATTAGCCAGTGCATTCGTCCTTTCAAACTACTTAACAGGAGGGATCAGGCTCATAGCACATTTAATTGTTGTCTTAAGCCTGTTATTAAGAGATTCTGCAACGCAGCCTGTTCACAGGGTTTCCTACCTGAAGGCTTGCTGATCTTATTTTTCTACTCTGTCTACTGGGCTCGTTTCTGTAAGACCATGTCTGAGGGTCACTCTTTTGAGTATCAGGCAGTCTTCCCAGGTGCATGAGTGAAGGGTAGACCAAATCAAGCAAGGTGAAACTTCTGCTTCTGCCTGATAGACCCTTCAGTGCTGCAGCTATGTCGAGTCCCATCCAAAACCAGTCCCCTACTGCCAGTGTGCTGCAGGACCCACATCTACAGCACTATACGCTGTCAATACACATGTAAACAGAATCGAAACCCCCTTTCCAAAGACTTTTCCCCATAGATCATGTTACAGGCACTGCACCAAGAATTTTGGACTGCAAAAAAAGCAGCTCAATGGCTTAAAGAAGAAGCAATTAAAAAAAAAAAAAAAGATGCTGAGGTTTGTTGCCATTCACATGTTCAAACCTTTGTTTCCAGTTTTCAAATTTTTCTCTGGGCTCGTAAGCCTTGTTATTTTACATGAAAGCCTATAGTCACAGTCTTTAATTTCATCCACATCCCTACATAAAAGCAATGGAGAGAGCTAGTGGCCCCTGAAGGGTGACTGCAGGTGGATCCAGGAGACTGAAGTGACATGTGGGGGCAGCTACTTGGGGTCAGCCAAGAGGAAACACAAAGTGTATGGACCTAAGTGGAATTCAGGCCATTCGTATATTGAGCTTCCAGACCCTTAGGAGAGGCTGACATGTTTTGAGTCAAACACTGTGATTTATGGTAAGCACACAAGGCCAAGCGATGGCTGGCAAGGAGAACGATTCTTTCTGTATTTAATTTCCTGCTCTCAAACATAAGTTTAATGATTACAGGCTCTCATCAGGTTAAGTACATCAAAGACTGGGGGAGCAGCAATGGTAATAGAGGCATAGAAGTAGCTTTCCCACGCTGTGTGGTTCTGGGAGTGCATAATGTTGATATCACCTTATCACACAATAACTCGGATTCCTCTTGGGTTTCTGAGCAGTGCTCTTTGGCAGTGTTTGCTATGGGCCTGGGGCATGAGCTAGCCCATTTTTTTTTTTGAACAAGTTGTAACAGAGGTTAGCTGCATCGGATTGAAAGCATATTTTCAAAACCCAACATGTTTCAAACTTCCATGTAGTGGGAAAAAAGCATAAGGTTTTTTTTTATTTAGTTTTCTGTGCATTTGGGACTTTGTATTGATTTGGGAGTTTTTTTGGTTTATAAATTTTCAGCAGAGCAATAGGATTTGGAATTATACATGTCTGGTAGGGCATGTCTGCATGGCATGCCAAATGTGTGATCATCAATAATAAAGATGCCTTTCCTTGCTTGTTGGAAATTAGCTAGATCATGTTCTGCTATGTGTGTAATCCAAGCAGCACAGACTTGCGTGTGTGTTAGCGGGCCGGATGTACACCTATAGTATATCTGTGGTAATAAACAAAGTGGGCAAATGCTAATGCTCCCTCCTTAAGGGCAAGCAGCAGGACACAGTAGACGACACTAAGCTCTGTGGACTTTGGGAGTGGCATTGGGAAAAGGGGCTGAGCCGTATCCAGAGTGTGCGATAGCTGCAGTAACCTGCACGGACTCTTCTCCCTTTGCAAAAAGTGCTAAAGAGGGGAAAAGCAAATGAGCCATTAGTGTCCTGCACCCTCCCTCCAGTATACCCACCTGCAAATCCACAAAATTTACAGCCCCTCTTGGCAGCAGAATATCCAGCCAGCATGAAACTAGGCAATCACAAGTTCAATTGTTTCCCCAATGTTAATTGCGTTTGTTACCAAGTTTCCCTGTAAAGGTGTGTCGTTTTTACATACCTTTAAAGGAAAGACTTTTTGTCAGGACTGTGTTCATGCCAACCACCTGTATTACAAAGCTGTCATTTATTCCAGCACATTTGCCTGTATTAAGTGTGCACCTCAGCTTTCAAAACCACAGATTTCCTTCTTAACATTTTACTACGTAATCACCAACAAGAACAGTCATCTTTATGGCTGAGAACAACATACAAACCTGCATGTCTCTGTTCAAGATAAAGACAGGATATTTCACTTCCAGCCGCCTACAAAGACAATGACTTCTCTGTACAGGATGAGAGGTAGGAAGTAGCCAGAGTGAGGCAGGAAGAGTACAGTTCGAGGAGGATAGGTGCTGGGACCTCTCTCTGCTTTCCTGGGAGTTCCATATGTTGAACGAATTTATGAGTTATTTTTAGGAAATGGTTTATTTTCATGTTCAGTCTGAGGTTAAGTAGAATGTGAAACTGCATTAACAACAATTGCCATCAGCATTTTTATTACAGATCTCAATTTTACAGTCAACATTTTGTATCACGACAGAACAGGTATAAAAGTGAGCATGAAGACAAACTCTTGACCCATAGTCAGAAATAACCTATTTGAAAGTATTGGTATATGTCTGCGTTGATGCATCTAATAAGTTACATAACAATGTAAATAAAAATAGTTATCACTTAATGTAAACATTATGGGTGAGGTCTTGGGTGTGGTCCAGCTATGCTCAGTGCAGGCCTGTGTATTACAGAACAAAGGTTTGTCTAGAGATGCTCGAAATTACACTAGCTTGTGTAGCTCCATCAGGACGCTTCCTACTCTGGGTAGTCACTAAATCATACAGCGTTATAACCTTCTGCCTGTGAGATCATGGAAACCTCGATCTGCCTAATGAACTGGCAATTGCTGGTTACACTGGCACTGCAACACCTGGGAGTGTACCTGTAGCAAAACCTGCTCTGTTCTCTGCGTCAGTGGCACTGCACAAAGCACTACAGCCAAGGCCACCAGCTGGCCACAGATCTCTGTTTTGTTATAAACACTGCACTTGACTACACATATCAGACCAGCAAAATAGAAATCAAAGGAAATAAATGAAACCTGCTGTTTCAGTGTTTTGTGGCATGTCTGTGCTTGTGAACTACACACTGCAAGACATCAACTTTCACCTCAGAAACAGAGGTCAAGAGAAGCTCCTTATTGTGGCATCGTTTTGATGTTTGCCTCCATTCCAGTGGGTGGCCAAGCTGTGGCCTGAGGGACCTTTTATAAAAGTTGGAAGGCTTACACTTACTGCTATACTAAGAATAAAATGTAATCTGAACTGCAGGGTGTTTCCAGTAGGGTTTTAATAGGGCTGTCTGAGTCAGTCTTGCTATTCTCTCTCCCCAGCTATGTACTCAACACGTCCTTACAGATGCTGGCAACCCTCTGAGCAGTTTCTGGTCTTTGCTTGGCTCAGCTCAGCCGTTTCCCCACCAGCCACTTACTGCGATGCCCATTAAATGGTACGAACTGCTCTGCGTCTTCCATTGCTTGCTCTACCTGCTCAGAGGTGCACCAGTCCTTGGGAGAAACATGATTTACATCGTGTGCCACTGGGCAGCGTCCCCCTCTGGGAAACGTGGCCCTAGGAAGCAGCAAGAGTGTAGCATGCTCCGGTCATTTCACAGAATGACAGAATTATTTAGGTTGCAAAAGAGCTTTAAGATCATCAGTCCCAACCCATCCTGCCTTCCAGCAAGGGACAAAGCCAAACACTGATCCGGGCAAGTTCTGCCTCGGCTTGAAAGTCTCATTCTTCTCTGTGCAAGCCCCAGGGAATCCCTGCTCTGAGCCTCAGGGCACAAGGGGAGCTGCACAGGAGGGAGCAAACCAGGGCAAAGCACCTGCCCTCAACCACTGAACATCCCCCAGTCCCCCGAAATAGTATGTTTGTGTGTGCGTGTGTACAGTAATCACACCTCAAGTATCATCTCCTGCTACTTGGCTGTTAGTATCACAGCAAGGATTTCTGGTTATGGACTCTGTACACACCATGCTACTATTTATCGCTCTAAGCTATGTAGCCACATCTTCTCCAGCTTTACACATAAATAATAGAAGTCTTCAGCAGTGCAGAGCGTTCAGTTTCATGGAGCTGCCGTGGTGTTGGTGCAGAGCCTGCAGTCCATGTGGTCAGGGTTATGCACACACTGAAGGAGCTGAACTGGCCTGTGATAAGACACAAAACAAACAAATATTTAGTAACCACTTTGCAAGTACAAGAGAATAACACTCTAGTTACTAAATGCAACGTGAAAGTCAAAGTGCATGTTACATGTGTGCTTATCAAGTAGGATGTCTTTTCTTAGGATATTTTTTTAAGATCTTGCTGCAGAAAGATAACTTCGACGTTTATAGAGGCTAGGGACAAGAGCACGTGAGTATGAAATAAAGTAGGGTGTGAACTTACAGCATGTCAGCTACTCTGTGATAACAAAAGTAACTATGAAAAAGAAATAAAGTCTCTTGCACGGACTATGGAGTTGCTGCCATGCTGGAAGTTCCCCATCTTGCTTACCCAGTGGTAACCCTTACTGCTGCTGTAAAGGTGTTGCTAAAAATGTCAGATATGATTAGATTTTTTGCTCAAAGTACATCCAGTGAATCTATTTTTTTAGTTACTTCTGGAAGAAACACTGCTGACATGGACAAAAGCAAGAGAAAAATGATCAGTATCAAATGCTATGTGGCATGCAAGGCAGATGCTCAGCTGATACAGACCCACACAGTTCTGTCTGCAGTCACTCCAGTGCAGTGACACTAAGCTGTCCAGTCCATCCTGAAGAGTTTCACTGCATATGTAAATTGCTTATTTTATCATTGCTCTGTATATAAAATAGTAAAATTAATTTTCCATGTTGCTCTACACAGCTGTTTATGTATGTGTTAGTTTAGCTCTGACAAAAAGGTCTACTTGTTATTCTGTCCTAAGAAGCAAGTTGTGAGCCATAGCAATGAGCGTGTCAACAGCTCTCCATGATGTGTTACTGATTCCTCCTTGTGCTGAGCCATGAGGGATCTAAGCTACTGTATATCTCCCCTTCCTCCCTGGCCCCTTAGATTATTTTAGCATAGGCTGAAATAATTTGCAATTTATTGTTTAAAGGCTGCAGTTACCCAAAGAGAAAGTGAGCACATGAGCATCATGATTGGGCAGATTTATGCTCCACACTGGTGTTCAGTTTTTCACAGTCTGCAGAGCACCCATTAATCAGGTTCAGCAATACCTAAACACGAATATATTGTTCTGCCTTCAAGATCAAAATCCTAGCACCAGATAAGGAATTTGCCGCCTTTGCAGACCAACTTTTCCTTATTTAAAACTAATGTAATGAACCCAGTAGTTTATAGAAATGTTTGTTTACTTTGGAAATGTTCTTACCCAAGTATGAGTTCTTCACTCTGAAAAGCTGTTCCTGACTGATAAGATATGAGTAATAATGAACCTTTGCTGCTTTTCTAATGTCACTAAAGAACACTTTCACTCTGTGTGAAGGTCTCTGAACCCACACAGAAGGACAAAGGGTCTCAGGCTTTTGTATCTCCTCAGCAGGCAGAGAGAGATTTCAGGCAAGTCAGAACTTGGGCTGCTCTGTTTCCTGGAATCCTGTTTTTATCTCCTGACAATGGGGAATTACAGTAATTAATAATACTTACAGTTATTCATGCCTCACTCTCTGACAAAGCAGCTGGATGGAAAGTAAGCTCCAACTATACCAAAAGAAGTAAGGACCATCTTTGACTTATTGCGTTACGTGCGAGCAACAGAGAGGAAAGCTGCCTATTTGGTACTGATAATTGTAGGTAAAAGCACAGACAGATGAAAATGTGCAATTGCAGTGACCTCCTGGAGTGCAAGGCAGAGACCAAGCCACAGTCCCAGCCAATATGAGAGCTGCAGTGCAAGCGGAAGCCCCTGAGAAGCACACAGCCATGTCAAAGGGACACGATGGCAGTAAGAGGGGAGTCTGCTCTAGTCCGCTGTAAACCAGGAGATCTATGTAAAATCAAGAGGGAGATGCAATATTATTTTATGTTAGCAAGTTGACACCAATAAGAGCAGATAATTACCTGTAATTATCTTCACAGGTGATCTTAAAGTTTCGCTCTTCTAAGATGCTTTTTAACCTCTTTATGGAATGACCTGAGCAGGATTCACTGGAAAAAAAAAGTCTTTTGTTACTTGTGTTCCTTGCATGCACAAAAAGCTCAGCTAAATTCCACACTATGTTCCTTTGCTTTACTTCAGGTAAGATTCTTTAAAAGCTTGTTTGCTAATGTGCTGTAAAGTCCATTGGGTTTGTGGAGTTTTGGCTACCATTGGGCCTTTGCTGAGAGAAACTATGTGATGACCAACTGCACACCAAGCACAAGAACGTTGTGCAGGAAGATATCGGTAGGAAATAACTCAGTTCCATTCACAGTTCAACATGCTCTAGAACTGCTCCAGAGCTGCTGGTGGCCTCCGTCCACAGAAGCATGATACAAGGCTCATTCAAAACTGTGGAAGGACAAAGTGATCAAGTCCTCTGTGTGATGTCCAGGTAGGACATAAGATAGGAAGAAGCAGATAGAAAACATGGGAGGAAGCAGGATATGAGTACTTCCTGTTTGACTCAGCCTGTGGCTGCTGCTACTCTGCTTTGACAAGGGGCTGTTTCAACTACTTTTCCATTGGTAGTAGCCTTAACTTGTTTATTTCTCTTCCATCCAGCTAATGGTTTCATGAAGCATGTAGCAATGTTGTACCTTTGAGATCTTTATCTCTGTGCTTAATTTGTTTGAAAGAGCCCATGGGGCCCCAAAGCTGTAATGAAAGCATTGACAAATGTCAGAGACACAGACAGAGACACTGCAAAAAACTTGCTACCTTGGTATAAAAATCATCTCCTGGTCCAGTGTACAGGACACATATCAGGGCAACAATACAATACTGGAGCAAATCCAGTTCCTAACATATAGCATTAGTGGAAAGCAGAGCCAGCTCTTCTTTGTTCATTAAACTTACCAGATGTTATCAGTGATTCAACATGGGATACAAATCAGAAGACAAAAGGAATACATATTATTGGAGCTAGCCTCCCTCTTTCTACTTGGAAATTAAACAGAAAATAAAAAGGAAGCTTCTGGGAACTTGGCACAGGAGGAAGATGTGTCAAGAAGGCTGGCAGGGCACCAGGTTGTTGAAGCTGTTGAGAAGGAGGAACATGATGGCTTTTCTGATGTTGGGAAACATTGACAGAAAGGATCAAGTGCCATGTCTGAGGGAACTAATGTACAGATTACCCAATGTCATTTTCTTCAGCAAACCTCTATGCAGTGGACCACAAGTCAGAGCTGAGCTGCAGTGTCTGCCTTCTACACACTGCTTGTCGTTTCACGCCAGCATGGCTTACCTTTGAGGTCCACCGATGTCATGCATAAGCCAAATGTGTACTGCAGAGACTTTCTCTGGATTTAGGCTAAAGATCTCAATACTTCCAAAAATGCTGTAAGAATGGGACATGAAAAAGTAAAACATTCTTAGTTATAAGTAAGAGGTACTAAGTATGTTCCCCAAATACTAGTACTTATTAGTGCTGCTGTTATTCTTAGTGAAAGAATATTATCTTGCCAATGGATTTTCACAGACTACTTAATTACCTTGTGGTAAAATATTTCTTCCCCATTCTTATTTCACTTTCATAAGAACTTTTGAAACTGTCTGCAGACTGAAATAGGGTGAAGTTTTTCCATCTTTACTGCCTTTTCTCCTGTTTGGTTATTGGCTGTTGGGTTGGTTTGGTGCCAGGGAAATGAACATGGCTGTTCTCCCAGCCAGCATAGTCTTCATCTTTCAATGTTATTCAAGACTGAACTTCCACCCAGGTAACCCAAGGAAGCACAGTCTGGAGAGGGAAAACCCAGTCAACTCCATGAGGAGTTAGAAATGTGTCATTCATGTGAATATAACATAGTGTACAAATCTAGATTAACTGTAATAATAAAGTTACTTTGTGCATTAATAGCATACTGGAGATCCTACCCACATTTAACAGTTTGAAAGATTTTAATTCCAGTATAGAAGGAGTTAAGTGAATCATTTCTTCAATAGCCAATGGTTTAGACCTCTATATGAGTTTTCTAAAATCCCTTCTGCACTGGGACTCACTGGCAAAGACACATTCACCAGCATGCAGGCCCAACAGAAACATGGGTGGTACCATGCTGAGTAAATACCTGCTGCTTCTGAAAGCTCCAGCTTCTATTGATCCATTGAGCATCACTTGAACCACACCACATGCTGCTTCTGCAAACTGAACAAAACAAATGGACATTTTACTTGGCCATGTCAGACTCAGGGCCAGTAGAAATTACTGTAACTTCTTCGATGTCATCAGAACTGACTTATACAGGTGGAGGATCTGGCCAATATTTTAACAGAACACGCCAGTGCAAATAAAAGCCTCTAAAGGCTCTAAAGGCAAAACTGTCACAAAGCTGCATTAGCCAGCTATGCATTGGCAGTCTGAGGCTGCATGGGATTGGTATGGCAACTTTTATGTCACTGCTGTTTTCAGTTTTTAGAGGGTGATGCAACTTTCCAGAACCCCAGCAGTTACAGCTGTCTGATGGGGCTGTTCCCTCCCTCAGTAACTTGGAATAATCCTCAGACTGCTTTAACTCAGGCGGTGGGGATGAGCCAGACCAGAGGTACCACAAGTTTAAGGGCACACAAACGATCGCATATTTATTTACCTTGTGACTCAGGCTCTGTGTTCTTTTGTGGCTTGGGATTTTTCTCCCAAGTGGTTTTAGTAAAACTCATCACCAAGTTTTGTTTGATTTGTAATCACTGCTCTTTTATTCTTTAAAACTGAAGTCCAAATATTTAAAGAGTACTGAGTGAGGTTACCACATAAAGTACCCACTCTAGATATATAATCCATTGGTGAGACAAAGAATTTCTGAAAGGCTTAACAGAGAGGACTGTACTTATCAAATACTCCAAGTCCTCTTGCATCTAAACAATGTGGCTCAAACTCAGCTCTTGAGGGCTGTGAAATTGCAGGGCAGGGAATTTTGTCTATGTGTAACGTTCTAATGTAAATAAGCATAGGTTTTAATAGGCCTTACATTTATTTGGACTAGAAAGCTTGCAGTCAAGCAAGCTTGACTCCATGGTTTATCCCTCCTAGGCCCTGGAACTGAGGGATTAATGAGTACATCAAAACTGTTTTGAGCTTGGAAAACTTTAGGTACACTAGTTTACCCACAAAACAATTTTTTATGGTGAGCAGACTTTTTCTTACATGCATGAGAGCTGGAACACACAGGAATGCTTGTTTTCCACCTGGACAGTCATCTACTAATAGTCATGTCAAGGGTGAAGTCCTGAGAGACATGTAAAATTAAACTGACACAGGAGAGCAGTTTTTTCTGCAAAGTGCTGTTTCAACAAAGCCAGGCTAACTGCTTAACTTGGACTACCAGAGTCTCATTCATGTGATGGGAGCTGGCATGTATGTATGGGTGGGTACGTCGTAGGAATCTTGCCAGATACTGTTGTGGGAGGATGTGTTCTTCAGGCTTATGCTGGGAAGGTGCAAGGGAAGAATCCATTTGGCAAATTTCTGTGCCAATTTGGGCTCTGTTCTCCACATTAACATGCTAACATGTATTCTGTTTTAGCAACTTCAGTCCTGTGATTTAAATAAGGTGGTGATTATAATTATTGTAGGTATTATTTGCAAAGCTCCACCTGTCTGCCAAGTGTTGTTCTAGACATTGGCACACAGTCTCTGTCCACAAATACGAATGCCCAAACTACTGTGACATTAAATATTGTACATAAAATATGGGACCTTGGAAATACAAATTCCCAAAGCCATGATTTTTAGCACCTGAAGCTAAAGCTCATGTGAACTTTTACTATTCCATGTTTTAAGTCCAATCTGCAAACTCACATTTTTGGCAGTGTCAGGAACTTAGTGCCTTTCAACATTCTTGGATTCAAGGAGATTTATTCTAGATCTTACCATCTTGGATGCCATTTTCCAGAATACAGAGCTAGGGTTGCTCTCACATTCACTTCGTTTTGGACAAGACTCATAGTTGATTCCTGAGAGGGAATACATTTATAGAATAGCTAAGGTTAGAGTGAATATTGTTGCAGAGAGCTGATTAATGATGGCACAAAGATTTGCCCCCTACCAAAGCAATAAGGCTGCATGTGGAAAGGGCTCTAAGAGGAAAACAAATCTGCATGCATTTGAAGGTTTCCCTGTTTGCTCACACATGTTTCAGGGAGGCATCTGCAGGCCCTGTATGCAAATAATTCTCAGAAAACTGAGAAGGGAAAACATGTAGTCTTAAATGGGGGAAACAGGTTGGCTCTTGACAATGCTGTCCAACTGCATTTGAAAAACTGAACTTTGCCCAACATCTTCAGTAATTCCAGCCCATTTTTGAGGCTGCCAATTTAAGCACCAACCCAGGAGTCCTGTGGGCATCAATAACCCCAGGGTACCTACATACTGCTCCACCACTTCGACTGGCCTGTGGCCAGGACATTCTTGAATGGCATTCTTGGTTTGCAGTTTGTCCCATAGGAGTCACAGGAAGGAACCAAGTAATCTTGATAAAGAGGGCAAGATTTGACTACTAGTCCAAGAAGCAGTCTGGTGTTTTAATAGTAGCCAAAAAGTTGTGGTTTTTAAATTAACCTGAGAAATAAGTATTATTTTCATTCTTCCATAACATGTGACAGAAATACAGTTAAGGTTTTAAAATAGCTTAAAGAAAAATATATGAAAAGGACTGTGTTTAGGTCTAGATACGTAAGAGAAAAGAATAAACTGGAATTCCAGTGTTCTGATTTGTTTTGCAAAAAATAGGACTTATTACCTGGGGCAGAAGGGTCTCCACACCATGAAACCCTATCAGCCATATAACCCAACAAGGTGTCCTCCAAGGTAAGGAAATTTTGATTGGATTTTGTATAACGATGAACGAGGTCATTTGTCTTGCTCCAAAACAGTGACTGTGAAATAAGGTACAATGTATAATAAGTGGTACTTATACTAGAGCTGGTCAGGAAATTTTCCTAGAGAAAAGCAAAAATTTTTCATGATAATGAAGGAGTTTTAGTTTTTGTTGAAATGCTGCAAGTTCACATTAGGGGGTCAGTTCTTACTTGTGCAGCCCACATTCCCACTTCCAAAATCTTTTTGGATGGTTATTTTTTATGGAAATGGATGCGTTGAGACTGTAAAGCATTTTGAAAGAAAGGTTTTGACTAGTTCTCATAGGATATATACCTAATTTGTCGTGTGCTTTTGAACTGCACATAGAAGAGCAGCTTTTTAGACGCAGTGTTCCTCTAACAACATGATAGCATGCTTTGTACAAAGAGCCATACTCTCAGGGAACAGGAACATCTCTGTCACTTCACCAGCACAACCCCAGTACTGACGTTTGAGGCAAGCCTTGCACAGGGATGATTTCCAGTGACAGAGAATGAAAAGAGTTACTGGGGTCCAAAGGTGATAACACCATCGCAGTAAGCACAAGAGAAAAATATCACCCTTGTCAACCTACAGGCACTCACAGTCATTATGTACAAGATCACCACTCAGAGCACTGCACAGACACGTCGTCCCACAGCAACCCTCCTCACGCAGCCTGCCATGCATGGTACCGTTACCTTGTTACAGGGTATAGGATGACTTGCTAACTCCATTAATGGCTGATAATCTTCTGATGTAATATTACAGGGATTCTTGTAAATGAATGCATGTTTTAATGATTCCCATATTTTCAGGCAATCCTTATCTCTGCCAAAAGACGAAAACATAGTTAATTAGTATTTATGAGCATTTATGACTGTGAAAGGATCTCCTATTACGGTCAACCACTATGGATCATATTTTAAAAGAGTTCTGACTATGCTCAGGCACCAAAATACATTATCCATTACAAAATGCAGAGTCTCTTCAGCAAATTGAGTATAAGCTGAGGAATGAGCAGTTCTAAAACATCTCTCTCTCTCTCTCTCCTGCATTTTAAATTGCTGATAACTGCAATATCTAAATGCCCTCTGGGTTTGTCCGTTAAAAAGAGCAATGTTGATATCACATAACCAGAAGATCAAACTCCTGGCTTTCTTGATTTCAAATTTCTTAGAATAGAATTATAGAATCATAGAATTGTTTGGGTTGGAAGGGACCTTAAAGATCAACTAGTTCCAACCCCCCCTGCCATGGGCAGGGACATCCTCCACTAGCCCAGGTTGCTCAAAGCCTCATCCAGCCTGGCCTTGAACACCTCCAGGGATGGGGCATCCACTTGATTCTTGATTCATACCAAATCACTAGAAGTAAATGTGGCAGAATATACCTTGCACATCTTAAAGATATGGCTGAAGAATACTGCCTCCTCAGGTACAGTGAGCCAAAAATATGCCCATGTGTCTCCCTGCAGAGCATTTGACCCTACAGAAATAATATCTATAATTTTACCTAAAACAAAAGCAGAGGTCTGTCAGTTTTGGACCTGATATTACTTTCATTTATGCACTAACTTCCAGCTATTGACTTTGCTGGAGCCACAGCTGATTTGCACACATATAAGCAAGATCCAGGTCAGGTGCTTGGTTTTTTCAGCCTCCTGATCCTCCACCATGTTACAGGTTCTGGCCCTTTTGCTCTCACTGGCATGAGTCAGTGGAATTCCACTAAATTTACATAGGGCAGCTGTTTCATGCCATGACAAAACCCTACCACCTAAGCCCATGTTACAGGTTCTGGCCCTTTTGCTCTCACTGGCATGAGTCAGTGGAATTCCACTAAATTTACATGAGGGCAGCTGTTTCATGCCACGACAAAACCCTATCACCTAAGCCTATATTTGTTTCTTAAGATGCTGCTTTGTCAGCCTAGGAAATAAAGCAACTCTCTGCTGACAGAAGCAGGGCTCCTTCTGACTACCAGGAGGAAATCTGTTGCATAATGAGGGCACACAATCCTATCTCTCTATTGAAGTAGTGCCATGCTCCCTTCCTGAAGCTGCAGCATATAATAAAGTTTGGGATGGCTCAGGACATTTGTTTTCTTGTACTTGAAGTAAAGAATGAAAACTTTGCATTAAGATAATTCACCATTATTGTCTGTCTATTAGGTGTTCTGAAGGCTGTCCCCCATGGGTGCACTTCCCTTCCTCTTCACACTCCCGCAGTTTCAGGCCCACTTGGGGAGCCTGCCCCTCTCATTACAGCAGTGACAGCAATGCAGTGATTTTGCATCCTTCTCTTCCCTATTTTTATGTAAATTTAAAACTCTAACTGCATTATCCTGCTGTCTGCATGTCTGAATGGAGCTATTCTGACTGTCTTTGACTCATCCACTCTTTCTTCACTGTTTGCAATCATCTTGCAGAGTTCCCACAAAGAGCCCTTTGAAAAATGGACTTTGTCTTGTGTGAAGAAACTAAGGTCTTCACAGCACTATAGAAATAGCACCAAACAATTAGCAGGTGACATACACACAGCTGCAGGCTTTGTTACCAGTTGGTACTCTGGTAACATGTAGGGTGTGGAATTGTATTAGTCTTAAAAATAGTCCTGAAGGGAATAAGAAAAATGGTAGTAAATCACTGAAGATTTCCAAACATTTTCAAGTTAATCTTGTCTACAGTTGCGTGATCTCATTCCTACTGCAGAACTTGATCAAGATTTCTACTGAGTGCCCACCTGAGCATCAGAGGGGCAAGCTGAAACACAGAGAGTTGAGCTGTTTGTGTTACATGGTCATCTCCTGGCTGTTTCCTCACTGTCTGGACATGAACTCTCTTCCTTTCCTTCCTAAGCCCTACAGAAAATAAACATTACACAAAGAGAAGGCCAGACTCTTGTCTATCTGCATCCAGAAGAAAGTGAGAGCACCTGGCAGCACTAGGTACCAGAGGGAATGCCTCCATCAGACACTCTGCAGGGGCTTGGGCCAGCATCATGCCAGG